CGGCGGGGTATGCAACCCGCTGCACGGGCGTGCACAAGGCGATATGGCGGGTGGCCTAACCGAACGGCGGCGCGCCTGTGTATCGGAGGATAGGCTCCCCGCTCCCCTTCCCCCTCTCCCTCTCCTTTCGCACGCTCGCGGCGGGGCGGAATGAGAACGGGCCCGCCGCGCGAGCAAAAGTTGGAGAAAAAGTAAACAACAACAACAACAACAAATTAATGCAAATGTAGAAGGGAGGGAGAGGGGGCGGCTGTGAGGAGGGGGAAGGAGGAGGATGAGCAGACCCGTCGCCGTGGATAACAAAAGACGGGCTGTTTGGAGCGGCGGCGGGACGCTCGCTCGCCGGCCCGCCTAATAACGGTTGTGAGCCCTGAATATGTCGCCGGCCACCAGGCCCTCCGGTCTGGCTCTGGCCCCGGGGGCGGCGCGGGGGCGGGGGGCGGCTGGTATTGTGCGCGACGAGCCGAGGGGGAGTGAGGGAGGGAGGAGGGTGGCCGACCACTCTACACCACTCCACTTCCGGTGCGACCCGACCAGCCCTCCGGTCGCTTGTCGCTTGGTTGCCGTGGCGTGGCCGACGCCGCCTTGCTGCTTCCGCTGCTGCTCCACTCCACATACGCGCGCTCGCCACCGACCCACCCCACCCCAGCCTAACCTACCCCTAACGTCTAACTCCTCTCCTTTCCCTACTCTGCGGTTTCCCTCGCTATGACGGCAGGGCCTCTTTCTCCGTCTCCTGTGCGACACACTGTGGCGCATACGCTGCTTGTCGGTGCAAAGTGCATCAGCAGCAGCCGCCTGTCGAGCCCTCCTAGCTCAGCCCGGGCTGGGCGTCGTCGGAACGGAGCCAAGCCCGGCCCCGGGCCCGGCCCATTGCCAGGCGGAGCCAGGCGGAGCGCTGGCGCGCCGGGCCGTGCCGAGCCGCGCCAAGAGCCGCGCCGCAGCGAGCCGCACTCCCTCGTGTTGACCTTGCCTGCCTCTGGCCTGCCCCGAGCCGACACGCGGCCCAAGCGGCTGCATTTCTGTTTCTCTCCCCTTCCTCCGTCTCCCCTCTTTTCCTCCATTCCGCGCTCCTCTCTCTCTTTTGCTATCGCTCTCTCTCTCTTTTTGTCTCTCATCATCTCTGTCTCCCTCTCTCTCTCTCTCTCTCTCTGTCGCTCTCTGCCTGTCTCGCTCCCTGCCTGCCTCCCCACATTCCTCGTTATGTGCCTCTCTCTCTCTCTCTCCCTCCATCCCTCCTCCTCGCCGTCTCCTTTTGCCCCTCTGGTTCGTGGCCGAGGGGGCCCGTCGGCCGCCGTCGGCCCCGGCCTGGCCTGACGCTCGTTGTGCTCTGGACGCCCCGCTCGCTCCGACTTGTTGCGTGGCCGTGTAGAGCGTGACGGTGTACCCAGGTGGGCTGCTGCTGCTGCTGCTGCCGCCCTGCCGGCCGCGGCGCCACGCACAGACGAGCCGACTATCGGCGATAAGCCGAGTGTCGTGACGGGCGGGCCGGGGAGTGGTTGCGTTGCCACGTCGCACGCGGCGGGCGGGGTGCGTGCGAGAGAGAGAGCGAGCGAGCGAGCGAGGGCGCGTTCAGAGGGTGGCAGCGGCGGAATCAGGTCCGCCCGTTCCCTCGCGGGTGCCTCAGGGTGGAGAGCGGGGTGCGTGCGATGGGTCCCTTGGTCGTGGAGCCCGCGGTTGTTGAGCCGTGCCTGTGGAGCGCTCCGCCACGCCCCGCCACGCCCCGCGGGCCTGTCGCCGCCCCCGGTGACCCCCGGGGCCGATACCCTGCGGAGCCCCCCCGGTCTGGGTGCGGCGGCCGACTGAAGAAGAGGGCAGAGCGGAGCGCCGCCGCCGGCCCCCGGAATGCGATGGTTGACTCATGTTTTTGTCTCTGTGTGTGTTGCAGTATGAAGCGCTGAGCGAACGTCTGGCTGCACGCCCTTTTGCCGGGGCTCAGCATGAAGGACAGCGTCGAGGCGCTGAGCACGCTGCCGTCTCACGCGCCGGACCCGACGCCCCAAGCAGCAGGTGAGTGTGCGCCCTGTGGCCTGCGCCCTGCGGCCCTGCGGCCCTGCGCCCCCTCCCCTAGGCCCGGCCCTTCGCTCCTCCTCGCTCCCGCATCGATCCGCGCGACGGCCACCCAAACGACGCGTCGCTGATCAAAACTCGTCTTTTTGTCGCCGCGGCCCGACATGTCCTCGTTACCCGCCCGGCGGCCCTCCGCTCGGCAGGTGTGGCGGATGAATAGGAATGAAAGGTGTTGGCCGCAACCCGCCGT